ACACACACACAGTCACTTTAATCAGTCTAAATAAGCTCTTTTTGCACTACAAATCATTATATCTGCACTGTTGTTTACTTCACTGGTTTGCACTCTAGCTGCCGTGTGCTGCTTTATATATATATTTTTTTATATATATATATATTTTTTTTTTTTACATTTTACCTTATTTGTATAGTTGTATTTTATATTTAATCTGTATATCTGTATTTATGTTCTACTGTTAGTGTTATCTGTATGCACCAAGGGTCTGAGAGTAACGCAATTTCAATTCTCTGTGTGTATGTGCTGTACATGTGGAAGAATTGACAATAAAGCAGACTTGACTTGACTTGACTTGACTTGATTACTTGGCTTTCAGAAACGCACATGAAAGGAAACCACATGCAACGATCAATATTATTTGTAACTTAAGCCTTAATCAACCCCATCTGACCAGATTTCAGTTCGGTCTAGACATGTTGTTCTCAGTTTATTTTATTTCTGCCAAATTGCGCAATCTCATAATCATAGTCTAAATTCTTTCGGCATCCGTTCTCCAGACCCTTTTTGTCGGTGGACACAAGTTTTTCCGATTATTTATTCCAACACTGGAAAAAGAAAAGAAAGAAAGTGGAGGACTGAAGGAGCGAAACGAGAGAAATAGAACAGCTCTCACCCATCAGAGGTACAGCTAGCTGCCGCCTGAAGAGCGTGTGTATGCGTTCGAGCTGGGCTTTCAACAACTCTTGCTGCTCCTGTGATGGAACGCTTCCAGGAGGAGGCTGGAAAATAGAGAGAAGGTGTTAAAACACCTATACAAGAAAAACAAAACACTGCAATAATTTAAGAGTTTTATTTAAAGGGGTCATATGATGTTGCTAAAAAGAACATTATTTTGTGTATTTGGTGTAATGAAATGTGTTTATGCGGTTTAAGGTTAAAAAAACACATTATTGTCCACATACTGTACATAAGAGAAAGGAAAAATTGAAATCGCATCATATGACCCCTTTAACATCCAAAGTCGGAATTCTCATTAATATTCATGGGATATTTAATAACAAGTATTTCAGTTTGGCTATTTTTATAGCAATTTAATGCCATGCTGATATTCTGTAATAAATCTGAGTAGGAACCCAGAGTAAATACCTGTACTGTGGAGAGAATAACAATCTCGAACTCCCTGTAGGCCTCCCAGATTGTAGCTCCTTTAGTCATGTGTAAACCCACTGCAGTCAGCGCCCTCTCAAAGATGGAACGCACCCGCTCAATGCCTCCCTGGGCTCCCATTCCCCCGATGGAGTACTGTACGTATTCCAGCCAGATCTCTGGACCTGTGGATGGGTTTACCAGTGTCTTTTTTTTTTTTTTTTAAATATCCCAGCACAGGATTACCTCAAAACAATCCATTTTACAATTAAGCAGCAATTACATGTTATTTATCAGATTATTGGTGGTAACAGATGTAGTATTTATTTATTTAGATTTGGCCCCGCCTTTCTGAAACGCGTCGATTTTTACAAAGCTCATCGGTCTGAAAAGCCAGGTGTGCTCTGATTGGTCAGCTATGCAGTGCGTTGTGATTGGCCGGATACCTCAAGCGTATGACGGAAATGTTACGCCCCTACCATACTGTAATGCCGTCTCCCGGCACGACCAGACAAAACCAATAAAAACCCATTACAAATGCAACAATGGCTATATTCATGGCAACATTAACAATATAATTTCAATTAGGGCTGGTAATTTAACGCGTTAATTAGATTAATTAATTATGGTGAAAAATAACGCTTTAAAATTATTAACGCATTTAACGCACTTGCATCATACAGTTACATCATATAGTTAAGCAATATCACTAGGGCTGGGTATCGTTCAAAAATTTTCGATATCGATACCGGTACTTTTTTCGATACCAATTTTATGAAATCAATTTTAACAATATGATCGGAACTCCACGCAGCTCCCGCGCTACTCTCCATTGGAAATGAATGACTGAATGACCGGTCTGTCGCTTGACGTTTGTCGGAGATGGTGGAAAGCCGGCTTGAAACTCAGTGGGAACGCCAGTATGACGAGGATCGTTTTCATTTTAAAACATAAACGTGTGCAGACCGATCGGTGTATTACAGTATCACGAGAGCTAAAGAGAGCAGACTGCTCCGTGCGCTTTCGAATCGCTCTTGCGGATGTCAAACACTGATCGATCTGCGCCGCACCTCTTCTAGTTGAACACTAGTACTACAGTGCCTAAAAAGTATCGAACTCGATACCCAGCCCTAAATATCAAACGAGCAATATCACACGAGTGCAAATGTGATACTGATCTTATACAACAGTTCAGTAAGTAAGGTTAACATTGTGTTATTTTAGACACAATGTTGTCTGTTTTGCTCAATTTTGCCAACGAAAATATAAAGACAAAGCAGAACTGTTAGTCTCCGAGCAACACACAGCGGCATTTCATTTCTTAATGCACGTTTTGAACGAATTGGGTGAACCATTTGGCGCATTGAACCATTGGCGCGTTGGATTTAAAGCGGCGCTGCACAGATCAATCAGTGTATGACATAAAAGGACCGCGAGAGCGATTCAAAAGCATGCAGAGCCGTCTGCTCTCTATAGCTCTTGCGGTACTTTGATGTCACACACTGATCGATCTGATGGTGATGATCCGCTTTAAGTCAAACAAGCCTAATGATTCAATGGACCATTCATAAAGAACCATTTACTTCACTCCTGAATGAATCAGCCATTTGAATGAATCAAATGAATTAATAAATGACTCGATGACTTAATCATTAAGACATTTACCACCTACTACTGGCAGTTTTAGTTTATTATTTAGCGTATCATTTCATTAAAGAAATAATTTCATATTTCCATAGTAATAATAAAAATGTAATAAAATAAATTGACGACTTTCAATTATCTTTTGGGAGTAATTTCTCAGTCAAATTTGATGTGCGATTAATTTGCGATTAATTAGATTAATTAATCGCCACATTATGTAATCAATTAGATTTAAAATTGTAATCGCTTACCAGCCCTAATTTCAATATATCATTTACAATAATATAACTTTTTCTTAAAGAAACAATCAAAAAACATACAAGAAACAACAATAGTACTGATAAAAATCACATACAATCTTTCAATTTAATCAGTTATAAAAATTCTAAAATTCTTCCAGCAGTAGGGATGGGTATCGTTTACATTTTATTGATACCGGTACCGCTTATCGATACTGTTATCGATACTATTTGGTGCAAAAAAATATGAAGTGAAAAGTTGTTAAAAATTTAAAGTTATTTTATTACTGCTGAACTTTAGCAACTGTATTAAAGTTCTTCAGTCAAGAGCAGTGAGTTATTTTTCTCTTTGTGTTTTATTTTATTAACATTAAAGGAATCGTTCACCCAAAAATTAAAATTGTGTCATTATTTACTCACTCTCAAATTGTTTTAAACCTGAATGAGTTTCTTTTTTTCTGTTGAACAAATTATTTTGCAGAATGTGGGAAACCATTCAGTTGGAGCTGGAGCCGCAAGACATAATTCAGCGCATTGCTTGAGGTAGATGTTGTTTTGTTAGTAAATGCTTCATAATATATGACTAGTGTTTAGGGCTGTGCGATATGGACAAAAAAAACCTATCGCGATTTCTTTGATCAATTTAGCGATTTCGATTTTAATCTCGATTTTGACACACACAGACATGCTTTACAGTCATAAATGCATGTGCAAAGTGAATTTGAAACATATTTCCAAAAGAAAACCAATTAGAGCTTTATCAAAAAGCTGTAACATGTCTCTAGAACAGACATAAGGCAAAATAATCACTAGGTAAAGGTGTAAAAAAATGTCTCTAGAATAGACATATGGCAAAAAATAAAAAATAAAAAAAATCCCGTGTCCAGGGATTTTTTTTGCCATGCATTGGTCATAGAGCTCTTTGTGGTGTTGCCTCAGATGTTGAACTAGATTTGTTGCGCCAAATTTACACGTACTCCGTCTGCTAGAGCCCTGAACGAGCCTCAAATTTAGGCCCTCTTTGTGGAAACGATCGCAGCATGACTGCTGCAGATGCACCGCTCCTGGAGCGCCATGCCGGACCGCAATCGCGTGCAGTGTGAACGCTCTGATCCGTTAACATGGGCGCGGAAGAAAGACGCACCACAGACGGAGTGTGTGAACCTAGCGTTACGTTTGTATGCCCACCCGGTCTGTTCTGTTCTCGTGCTCCATTTAGGCGCACTGCATTCTGATTGGTTCGGATAGCATAAAATCGTGCTATAAAGCGATTTAGAAATCGCGCACGCTCAAATCGCGATTTTATGACGATTTCGATTAATCGCACA